GTGAGTAAATCCCTCAACAGGAATTGGCCTGACTTCAAGCTCAGAAACACTGCGCAAAAATAAGGCCCAGCTGTGAGGTGCCCGTAGTGCTGATCTGAGTGGGAGAGAAGCACATGTGGCACCTGCCACATCGGGTGCTCTCGATGGGGCGGGCAACCCCCTGCCTTCCCTCCCCCCAGAAGTAGTTTACTCAGTATCACAGGTCAAATGAGAGCTCTTTGAGGGCCTCTGTAGGAGTTTTAGCCGATGCCAGTGGTGAAATTTGCTGTACGTGTTCCCCTTTTGGAAGATCCCCCCGGCACTTACGCGACTGCTATTCTGCCGCCTGGCGGGGACTAGATGCTGTGTTTATACCATTCCCAGCCATCCCTGGTTTGCATCTGGGGCTACGCAGTGCTGTGTTTGAACCTGGAATCTCCAGGTGTCCTAACAAAACCCCTTTTAGGGTCAGGAACAGTAAACAAAGGGCCAATTTCAGGCTGGCTTTGAGCAGGGTTGGCCACAGATCCATGCTCACCAGCTGCGGGGAGTATCTGGTTCACAGGAGAAAAGACATAGAATTAGCTGTATTGAATTCCTGCTCATCTGGTGCTTCAGTGCAGCCTCCCTCATTTTTTATGGCCACAACTGGATGTAGGGCATAGTCCTTTCCCGTTTGGGTCACACAGAATTTTTCCAAAAGGTTTAGCCGAAAGACGCTGAGACCCTAAAGTTTTCGCTTGCACTTCCTTGGGTCAACGTGGACTTTAGTTAAGATCAGGCCAACCCGTGAAAGACTGGATCTCATAGTACCAGGTCTCTGGAGCTGATCTGGTGGGTTTACTCACCGTGTAACTGTGAATCCCGTCCCACCAGAGCGAGCTGAAGCGCGTGTGTGAGTTACGCTGCTGACAGGCCGGTTTATCCGACGCAAAAAGCGATCAGCCATCCGTGTCTCATGGCCGGGCCGGAAGGTCTGAGCTGCGCCTGTCAACTCCTGAGGCTTACGCTGCCCGGTGATGTCAGCGGGACTCTTGCATGAGTAAGCAAGCTATTCTTTCCTCGCATGAAGTTATGTGATTGTTCTGTATAGTGCATTTAAACCGTAAAGGACTTTTACACAACCTGCTGCCAAAGCTGCACGTCTCGTTCTCAAGTTTCGCACTACAGTTTTCTGAGGGAGAGAGCTACACCTGAAAAACAGTCAGAAGATTAACAAACGGTAAGAAGAAGCCAAGAGGGTGTGCAATGAGCATTAATTCAGATAAAAGACAGAACAACCCAGTGAAGATTTCACGTTTTATTGCTGTTAAAAGTTCGTCGTGAAATTGGCACAGCGCATAAAAATAGATCTGTGGTGAATGATACACATTACTCCTATTGCCCTTCGGTTTGTGCACAACCCCCACTTTTTAAAATCAGAGCGTAATTAATGTAAGACATGTCGTCGGCTAACTCTGAAACCGGTGTTACTGCAGCAGGGAGAGGCTGTGCTTTTCACCGAGTCTGTCGGATGGATAACTCAGGCAGAAATAGTCCTCTATTCACACTTAAAAATAAACTCGGTTTTAGAGTATGCCCCAGCTGAAAATAACCGGAGAGGAAGAGCTAGAAATACCCCTTTTGTTATGGACCTATTTCCATGGAAGTCAAAGGGATTTTTGCCGTGGATTTGGGAAGCAGCAGGATAGAGCTGCTTGTTGACAGACAGATGGAGAGGCCGAGCAACAGAAGCTAGGGAGGACCCGTGGCAAAGTATGGGTTTATTATTTTGATCTTGCACATGCTGCTGAATCTCCTTGTTGTAGTAATTGTGTATGTTCATAACAGCAGTGATTGCTGGGAGGAGCTGGGAGGGTGTATCAAAGCCAGATAAAGCGTCTGCGGCTTATTTTTTCTCCCTGTTTGGGTTGGCCTTGGTTCTAACCCCACACACCATTCACTGCAAGGTGACTTTTACCTGCACGCTTTCTGCTCCACGTGAGACAATCTGAACAATACCCATGATTACCGAAGAAAAACCCTCACCGGGTCACTAGCTGTTCCGAGAATTGCGTGGCTTTCCTTCCCCAGGCCTGTGTTTATCACAGCGAGCTTTTAGGGCTGCCCTCAGCCCGACTCTCGTTCCTCGCACTGTCAGATCAGTTCCAGGGGTGCTGGCAGGTTGCTCACCGGCTCAGCAGAATTGCGGGCCTGCAGTTGTCTGGCACGGAAAGGTCGCTGTAAGCAGCCTCGGTGCAGGAAGCAGCGCTGCTGATTTCCGCAGGGAACACTTCTCGTGGCTGGGGGGCGAGATGAGCCTCCCACCATGCAGACTGCGGGGAGGAAAACACCTCAGTGGCACGGCTACTCCTAGACTTTCCTTTTAAAGGAGCCGAGTAGGAACACGAACCCGTTCACGCCTTCCAAACGTGTGAGCCGGGCTGTGTTTTTGCTGCCTGCCCTGGCATGGGGCAGCTAACAAATGTGTCTGGGAAACTGCCACGCGGCTCCACAGTCTGTGCTCTTGGCTGGCTCCGAAACGCCCGCTCCCTCCCTCGGAACCTCCACTCCCTTAGCGCTGCCCGCAGCTCCTCACGCCACCCCAACCCTACCTGGGGCTGCTCTGTCCTCGTTTCCTCCGCGGTGAATAGTTTTACATCGCGGAAGATAAAAATCTCAGTGCTGCTCCCTTGCATTAAAAAGTCAGGGCTTCAGCCTCAGCCGCGCAGCAGGAGAGTAACAGGGGTGGGAAGCTGGCACAGCAGAACGGTGAATCAGGCTCTCCCTTTGGTTTTCGGGATGTTTACCCAAAACAGCCCTTGAGAAAGATGCTGTGCCTCAAGCAGATGTCACAGTCAACCGGTTTAGCAATATTACGCCTATTTCTTCTCAAGCAAGTCAAGGAGGGGAGGGAGAATGTAATACATGTTGTTAGTGCAAGCTCACATAGACAAGGTATGAATATTTAGTACAAAATGTTCTTTCAAGGTGGGGCAAATGCTTCTAATTGTCACACAAAAAGAAGGTATTTTGTAACATTTTTAACAACTTGGCTGTGAAAAAGCTTTTAAGTGAAATATGTTTAGACACAGACTAGTTCACATGATAGTGAAATATTTCAAGGCTCTTTCTGAGTAGGCAATAACCTCTTTTTCTTTTTCTTTCCTCCCCATTAAATCAGCTCTATTACAGCCAATTCCAAACATAACCAAATAATTTGGTTGTGTTTTTTTTGGTTGGGTGGTTTTTTGCCTTTTTCTCACTGAGCGATTCTACTCCATATGGATTTTACCCATTCAAGGCTTCTTTAATTTCAGAATTCATTTCTTCATTCAGAGGAAACCACTGAAATATTCAGCTAATAAATTCTAGCATAAGATTTCAAAGGTTGGTTCATACACTCACTTAGTCTTGAAGAATTGCAGCTTCCAAAAAGCTTACAGACTTCCTGTCCCTACCGGAGAACATTTTGAAAACTTGGTCCAATTTGGAAACAGTTTTGTTTCAGGTGTAGTAGAGCTTATATCCAAACGTGAAGATCTGAATAATCCCTAAATTGTGGAGACCAAAAAAAAATAAATCAGATATAAAGCTTGCAGCACAGTCTTCTCTCTTACCCGTTTGGACTTGGCTAGAAGTCCAACAGAACAGAAACATTTAAGGGCTTGGTTTTCTCTGGCTTACACTGCACGTGGAAGAGTTCAGCAGTCGCTTCTGACCACGAGGAGCCAACACCAGCCACACACAAGTGGAACAGCCCTTCTTTTGCCTGCCATGGCCCGGTACTGCCCAAGAGTGGAAGAAAGACAAAAAGGCTTCCAAACTATCATTAGACAGGTGAATAGACGTGGAAGCCTTCGCTGTGACTTTTTGCCCTTTCCTGAGCTCTCAGCCAAACCACGACCCGTGAGAAATGGGTTCACAGCCCTGCTTGCCTCGAAGCCTGGCTCAGAAACCACAACAGGGCAGAATCGGGCGGTGGGCGCCGCAGTTGGTGGAGTTGTGCAAAGGCAAAACCGGAATCAGATTCCGAAAAAGCATTTTCCTGAGACAGTAAACAACTGGAGCAGGAAGAGATGGGAGTGCCCAGCGCAGCAGGTGGGAACAGAGGCAAGGCAGGGAGAGACGCCGCTGACGTGGTGGTGCACCGGGTTCATCTTGGCATCGCTGTGCCGTGCCGAGCCTGTGCAGCGCAGCGGAGGGCTGAGGGCTGTGCTAACCTGCCAGCAACCCAAAGTCAGCCAAACTGCTTTTCCTGGGCTACAGCAAAGGCCTGGAAGGGGCAGTCCCTACCGGTGTGCTCTCAGGGAGATCCGTTCTGGGTCTGTGCTGCTGTAGGCTCATGGTGCTACCTGCGCTCTCCAGCCTCCTCCTTCAGGCCCACAGGACTCGCAGGACAGCCTTAAGCAACGGCACCGCATCAGCAAACCTGTCTTTACGTACCCAGCTGGAGAAAGCACTAGGCAGGGAGGGTGCTAAATATCCCTCCAAACAGAATTCATCTTCTGCCTGCATCTGCCGTGGAACCACAGAACACTTCCAAGCGGGCGAAAAATCCAAACTCCTCATGTAGAAGCACCTTTCCCTTGGATTTTTATTATCATCATCATCACCATCATCATCATTTTTAAGAATGTATCTTGTACCGAAACACTGTCAGCATTCTTTATACAATGGAAAATGACAGAGTCATCACTTACCACGTAAAAGAGTAAAAACAGAGCAAGACAGGAACATTTCATATCAAGATTTAATCTGGAGTACAAATAGAATCTGGTGTACAACTTAAAAGCCACACACCAGATAAAAAGATCATCTGGAAAATAACAAGTTCTCTCTGAATTTGGAAAAAGGAGGAAAAGTCAGGGAATGTCAATGTTAAGGCTAAAAATTCCATTTTTAACTTGTATTTTACAGGTGGCAGTCTGATTCTTAACTTGTCTGCAGCAGCAGCAACACCCCCCTGGCTTTACAAAGAGATTTGCACTTGCATGAAGTAAGAATCAGGCTTCTATGCTCTGAGGACTCTGATTGACCTCAGCAGGCTTTGGACTAGAGCCACAGTTGGAATTTCAGCGTGCAGTCTAAGGCTTCTTAACTGCAGGCCAAATTAGTGTAAAATGAGGCTTTGCAACTGGCGTTCTACCCTTACCTTTGGATATTCCAGTTCTGGTTGCTTTAAACCACAGCTTTATTGCAGGTTTAACATAGTTCTGTTTGTGAGATTCTTCTTTTTCTTTTTTTTTTTTTTTTAAATACTGTGCTACAAAGGATGTTTCTGTATTCTGTGTCTTAGGAAGTCCCTATATTACATGTTTTCAAAATTCCCTAAATATATGTTTATATCATAACTACCCACAAGACCCGCAATAGTCTATTGTGAGCAGCCAAGGAAAAAAGTGTATTTAGTCCTAAAGAAGTCAAGAAAAGTGGCTGTGTTCATTTATAGTGTAGCACAATGACTGTGTTCATACAGCTATACCTACTATTTAAAAAGCTACTTGGAAAGTTATTATTCATGTGCAGTAGCTGATTTTCAAGCATTAATAACTTGGCTGTCTAGACAAGTTTTAATTGTCATATCAAAGGCCGAATATGTTCTCAAACAAAGTGCAAAAAAACTCCCATCTCCTCTGGAAAGAGGCTGGTTCTCTTTCTGAAGTAAGAGGCTGCCAAATTTAACTTTTTTTCTCAGGTTATAAAAGCACAGTTAAACACACAAATTTGCTTTTTAAGTTTTTTAAAATGGATCGACTTTAAGTCAAACCTATCCCGTGCAGCAAAGTTAGTAAGCCCTGAAAAACAGTTTGTAGTGAAAATGCAGAGCTACCCCCACCCCCAGCAGCTACCATGCCCACACCTCCCAGGGCCTAGAGGGCTCCAGTAAAATGTCACTAAATGGTCGATAGGAAACAGGACTTTTCAAGAGTTTACCCAAAGAACCTAAGACGTTTTGTACATTCAGAATGTTTACACTTTGCTGTTCTTCACCATCAGTAAGATTGTTCATTTCTACTAATAATACATACATTGAGTATAAATAAATAAACTACAGATAAGCTTTAAAAATGGTATTAACAGTACATTGTGCAAAAACTCATACCGATCTACATTCTATGCAAATACCCTGACTAAAATATACAGGCTGTGTCCTCACACCCTCATTCCATTTTTGCACAGTCCTTGGGCCAAGTCAGCGGCTGGGAGCAATCAGCAGAACTCCCCTGCGAGCCACGGCGGCGACGCTGCTTTACACCAGCAGAAGAGCTGGCCCCCAGGCGTGTGCAAAAATCCCACAGAAATCAGTGGGAATTGTGCTTGACTAAGGACTAGACCATCTGATTGTACCCCGGTAACGTGAGCGGGAGTTTTGCCATCGATTTCCAGGGAACCAGGCTCAGGCCCTGGGTAAGGACGTCAAGACGTGGCCCTATGTTGTGCTACACTACTCCACTTCAGTGCAGAAACAATATTTGCAAAAGGAAAACGTTTTGTTTGCTTGTTTTTTGTCGTTGTCATTGCTGTTCAGTAACCGGTTCTAGTGCTGCATTTCAGAAATCACCTTTCTGCGAGATTTGAAACAAGACTGCAAGTCTTTCTGAATCCAGTCCAATTTGATTATCCAGCACCGGTGGGCTATTTTGATCCAAGAAAAACGGCTCAATGTCTATTAACCAACAACGTTCTTCATTAGGATAAACAACAGCCCGGTTCATTGGCACAGGAGTGAAGAACTGCATGCGGAAAAGGAACGGGGCAGCCCTCCTACCATAGCTGTGTCGCGAGCCGGCTGTCACTTCTCCAAATGGACGATGGCACCTGAGCCGGTTTGGAATCTGCGGTCCTGACGAGCTCAGCCCAGTTTTGTAAGCTGAAGATCTCCGTTTATCTTTATCGTGTCAATTGCTGACAGTGTTTCAATACGGTGGTAAAAATCAAAGAGCTGATGTCCATCCACAAATATTCTAAAACGGGGATGCTCACAAAGTATCTCAACCTGTAAAAAACAAAATGAGGAAGCAGGTTGTTCACAATGTAGTTGGGAAGTGATTTCACAGAATACAACGAGCACTCCACGAGCCTTTAAGCAGTGTTGCTGTGGTTACACGTTTTTGGTACTTATGTGCCACAAAACAGCCAGGGCTGAGGCCAGTTTTCCCCCATGACACCCGTTACACTGTGATGGATCTGCTCTTGCTTCGCAGCGATGTTAATCCCACCTCACACTGTTGTGGTGGGAAGGACTCTGCAACTCGGTCCCACTGGCATCAGGGAGGTTTTGCCTCTTGAATAATGCCAGAAGCAGACTCAAACTCCTAATTACAGGGGGAAGAAACTGTATTTCCAACTCAAATCTTGCATTCCTTACCACAGATTTTTTTTTTTTTTTAAATTTTTGCTGCAGAATGAGGGGGCAGTTTCCTCTGCAATGCTTTCCATGCGTCCGTTAATTTACTGTAAAGGAACGAACACAAGAGGAGTGACAGGTCTGCCCTCCCCTCCCACACATGCTCACAAAGCTGCTGCAAAACTAAAAAGCCTCCTCTCTTGCGGCTGCAGACAGCCCAGGACTCCCTGCTGGACCAGACTCAACACTGGGGCTGCAGTGAGGGAAACGTGGTGAGGGATGGCTTGAATTCAGCTACACAGTTCACATAAGGCACAAACAGCATCAGGGAGAGACACAGCTCATCCCTCCTGGAGCCTTGCAGAAGCGCTCTGGAAAAGCCACAAAGCCTGGAGCTGAACAAGCTTGGACAGGTTGGGAGATTCCTGACGTCACGGGTGGCTCGAGAGGGTGCCCTGTCGCTAAGCTGCCCCGGCAGAGGCAGGGATGCGAGGGCACGGAGCGCGCGCCTCTCGTCCAGGCCCTCGGAGACCTCCAGGTCTGGACAGGCTGAGAAGAAAACCTGCAGGCAAGCCACATGTCAATCCCGGGACACGTCTTGGGTAGCCTGAAACGAAGTGCTGCTTCCAGGCACTTGACTCTGCTGCTGTTACAGCGCATAAAAATGGGAATGGGGCCAGCGACAAACTGAGCCAAAGCCCGACTGACTCGGGGCACGTTGCGCTGGGATAAGGAGCAGAAGAGTCCGGGAGATCTGAAGCTCCTGGGGACCTGCCCGTGTGCCACGGAACAGGGAGGCGCCCGCGGCTGCCACGTAGCTCCTGTGTCACTGCGGCAGGTGAATCCAGCCTTAGGCCTCGTTATGTAAAAGATATGGTTAGCCTCAACACTGCTTACGATCCATTTTTTTTCAGATCACCCTGGGCCACGCCAGAAGGATAATTGGACTGGATCACAAGTAATTGGCAAGAACACTTAATAGTCTTAATTTCTTCACTGAGAGGAAGACCGTCAAAGGTACAAAGTCAATCGGGAGCCTGTATTTCATTTGGGAAAAAAGGAAAAAAACCACCAACCATTAACCCAGAACAACTGCCTTTCTACAGCATCTCACGCCAAACGTGCAATATCGCTGTCCTCTGACAGCAGCTGTCATTAGCGGGACACCCACAAAACGTGCTCTGGATAATTTGTCTGGCTTGTCTGAGGGCCCAGGCACCACCCACCGCAGCAGGTAGTGTAACCCTCTCGGCCTGAGCGCAACCAAGGCTCTGAGCCCTTTCAAGTGCATTTCTCACACGCACCAAAGGCTGTTGCCACTTCTGATGGGAGAGTTTGTAGAAGCAAGTAGAGCGCAACCAATTTGCCGCAAACCGAGTCATAAACACCCTCTCAAAGCCCAAGCATCTGGGGAGACGTGAGCTTTTGGGGTTGGGGCAGATTATCTTGGGGGCAAGGAGGATTAAGAGAGTTTGGCAGCTGGTCAGAGCGTTGGCATTTAGCAGAGGGGCCAGTAAGGTTTCATAAGAGGGGCGGGGAGGAGGAGGGTTTTTCTGGGTCAGCCGCATGCAGAAGGCATGCAGCCTTTTTTCCTCAACGCCGTGAAGCCGCTGAGAGAGAAGCGGCCCTCTGCAGCCGCATACTTTGTTAGTCCTGATTTGCAAAGACATCTTCACACAACCATAAACACTACAGATGGGAATCTGCTTCTAGGTCAATCCAGTCCACCCCTTGCTCCACAGCATTTCCACAGACACCATTTTCAAGCGACTACAGACTTAATTTTGACAGGAGATTTAATCTCAGAGCTCAGAAAAGAATACCACTATTGCTTAGCTGTTTAATCTCTGAACACAAAGGGCTACGGTCAACCTCAGCGTAACATCCCTGGAGACAAAGGATGAACAAGATCCTTATTAGCTGCACTAAATTGCAAACACTACGTCCATTAGAAAAAACCCCATCCAAACATACAGCAGTCCCATGGAGTATTTACATTCTCCAGTAATAACTTGTAATGCCCTAATAACACGGAAGTGCTTTTTAATTTATAGCTATAAAACTAAACTCAGGAAGTGCTCTTCATCACACAGCGTTACAACCTCCGACTTGTCATAGCACCCTGGTGAGGTGTCCGCAGCTCCATCCCAACTGCCCGCAGCTGCACGCAGCAGCGGGATCTCTGCGCCACTTCTGATCGATACAAACAATCCGGCAACCGGTGTCTGAATCGGGGAGGCGCGAGGGCTACGCTGATTTCACGAGACATCGCAAGTCTGTGTTACACTCTGTCAGACAGGGCGCACGCTGCTGTCACCCCGGTACTCACCCTAAAAGGCTGGTCCGGTATAAATGGAAAGTACGGAATAGACGATTGCTCTTCCCCCCATTCTCCAGCTACACAAGAATTTCTGACAAACTGTCTGTCTGTGAACACAGCTTTCAGTTCAATAGCTACATCCGCAGGAGGATCTTCTGACTCCCCGCAAGTCAGGCTGATGCCAAAGCTGCAACACAAACAGAACGGCTCTCATTCAGCCAGAAACAAGCAAATAAGCCCCAAATGCCGCCGGACTTGCTTCTTGGCTTATTAAAGCCACTGGCGGTATAGCGACACGGGGGGTGACACCTCAGCTCATTCCGGGAACGCTCTGAAAGCTCACCAGGGACAAGAACACACTTCCAGCATATATATATGTGTACGGGCGTGCGCATGTGCATATACGTGTATATATACGTGTGTGTATATACATATATATATATGCTCCTTTATTCCCAAGTGAAACGTTGGGAAAAGAGGATCCCTTAAAGAAATGCCCCCTCTATGGGTCAAAGGAGAAATCAGCACGCTATATTTAAAGCGATAAAAATAATCCCTCTCCAGCAAGGAGGGATCCGTGTCTCTGTGTATGTGTGTGTGTGTGTGGCCGCCTCCCCACGTCCCCTCCCCGGGCCCAGGCTGTTACCTCTCGGGGTTGAGGTCCACTATGCCCATAACCAAGATCTTCTTTCCCGGCCTCATTCCTCCTTTGATGTGCCCACAGAAGGGGACGATCTGCAAAGGACAGCGGGGAGGGTGGCCAGGGTCACTCCGCAGCGGCAGCCGGGCGGGGGGAAAGGGGCAAAAAACCCCCCACAAACACCCCCCCA